TTTATATATATTGTATATTTTTTTTAGTTCAAAAAGTTTATTATTTGTATATAATAAATTATTAAAAAATATTTTTAATGATTAATTAAATTATATTTTGCTATTTTTAATACTAATTTTATAATTATTAATTATTAATTAATAAACTTTGTATAATTAAATAATTTTAGTCTTTAAATACAATTATAACAATTAGAATTTTTAAACAAAAAAACTATATATTTAAAATTTTAATTTGTATAGATTTAAATAGTGATTTTGTTAGCAAAAAATTTATTGTTCGAAGTATAGCTGAGAACACTATACCTCTAGACATTCGAAATCTGTTTAATTCCATGATGGTGTCTGTCACGGTGCATAACTAACCAATACTATTCATTTTACATTTAATTTATTATATGTATTACTTTTTTCTTTGTCTTATATTCTAGCTAAGCCTCTTTGTAATACCACCCTTAATTATTAATAAACTTTTTTATCTTATATTGCAACTATTGCAACTATGCCTTTATTATTTTTTATAAACAAAATATTTATCTTATTCGAATACCAAAATCCATGTTACACTCTTGTCTCTTTTAATTCCTTACCTTATTCCTTTTATCTAATACTCATAGTATTACAAAGCAGATTATAACACAACATAACATTAGCATAATATAGTGTAGATTATAGTTTATTATTTGTATATAGTATTAGTTATATTTATTTAAGTATTAGTTATTATTATAGTTATATTTATTAGTATAGTATTAGTTATTATCTTTATTAGTGTATTAGTTATATTGGCTAGTTAACTGAGGCACAGTAATGCTACACGAGTACCTGTTAGTATCTTCACACAAGTACCTGCCAGTATCTCTACACAAGTACCTGCCAGTACCTCTATATGAGTACCTCTTAGTATCTCCACACAAGTACCTTTCAGTATCTCCACATGAGTACTTCTCAGTACCTCTACATGAGTATCTCTACACAAGTACCTCTCAGTACCTCTATATAAGTACCTTTCAGTACCTTTATACGAGTATCTCTTAGTACCTCTACATGGTTTAGCAGTTATACCATTACATCTCTTATATGTGAAAAAGTTATAAAAGGAAGCCTTTACTTCTTCTACTCAAGTCAGAGTTAGTTAGAGAATTCCCTACTCTCTCATAGTATCTAGCCTTACCTTCTTACACTTCTTGTTCTTGTATAAGTAATATACTCTCTTTAGAGTAATCCTAGTAGATAAGGTTATCTTTCTTGATTTATAATAAAGTATTAACCTATATACTATCTCTATGTTGAACCATTTGCCTCTTGCTAGTTGAAGTAGTGCATATTCCACTTCCATCCCGTGTACACCTCAATAGTAGGGTCCCTGTACCGAGTGACCTTGTTATCTTGCTACGTGTTAACCTAGAAGACTGTAGTATTGTAACATTTTGGTGCCTTTTGGTGGAAAGCCAAAACATTATTTCGGAAAGCTTAACATTATTGAAAATGCCAAAAATCATCCCCAGAAAGTTTAATATCATCGGGAAAGACTAAAGTTACTTTGGAAAATTAAATTACTAATATATAACCTAAAGTGCAATTATACTTCTAGCACAACAAAAATTGTAGTACGATCTATGTATTGCCCTCATAGCCTGGATATAATTAAAGTATAATCTACATGCTCCAAGTAAAAGTATTTCATGTCGCATATATTAATAGTTACTTTAATTAGGGGTCGTTTAAAGCCTGGAACCTTACGAAATTACCTGAAATTTAGAAAACTACAGAATATAGATTATTTTGGCTTTTTGAAATACGACATACATAGAATCTACTTTGATCACTAAATGTAATACAGTTTTTTTTAAGATATGATACTACGGTAATTTATTTATTTGTTTTTATTTTATTTGTCTCGTAGGTTTTTTTTTTTTATACTGAGATCTAGATTTAAAGTATATACGCGGTTTGGAAGTTTTTCTTGTTCTATTCTTTTTTTTTTTTGCAGAGAATAAATATTCTCTTTCGTTTTGTTAGAATGAGAATTTTAGCAGAAAATATGAACTATGGCCGAAGATAAGTGTTGATTTCTTTTTTTTACTTTTATTTTATTTTATTTTTTTTCATTTATTTATTTTTTTTTTTTGTAAACTTTAGCTTCTTTGGAATGCGAAAGTAAACCAGGGCTAAGTTCTGAACTTTGGCGGGAAATAAGAACTATGGTCGAAGATACGTATATACTAACTATTTATTTATATATATATTTATTTCTTTCATTTGGCAGATATTAATGCCTTTTTTTTTGTTGGTCTTGGCATCGTTAGAATGCGAAAATCAACAGAGCTCTGAATTTTGGTGAAAAAAGACTATAAGTACTAATTTTTTTTTTTTTTTTTATTCATTTGTTTTTTTTTTTTTTAGCATATAATAATATTTTTTTCTTTAGTCTTTGGCCATATTAGAATGCAAAAAAACTAGTGATGGGGTTCTGAATTTTGGCAGATATTCACACTAGTCAATGGAAATCTAGACTTGTTAAAATTGAGAATCAAACTGGAGATAAGTACTGAATTCTTTTTTTTTTTTGTTTATTTTTAGCATGTGCTAATGTTTTTTTGTATCTAGCTTAGATAAAATATAGAACCGCGTTAAGAATTGGGAACTGGAGATAGTTCTTTTTTTGCTTAATTACTGTGACTTATACTTTGTATTATAATGTAGTCACTACTATGATGTATAATTTTGTATCAGAGTGAACAATGTTATATGTAGAATTAAAAGTTGCGTCAGATTATAATACCACTAATACCTACCCTTACCCTAACATATCTATCAGCTTCACTCTAATTTAACAAAACTCGTCAATATTTAAATTCTATTTTAATGTCATAATTATGTAATATTTTTAAAATATTTCAATAAAATAAGTCTACACATTTATAAGGAACAAATTTATTTATTTATTTAAAATAATTTCTAAATAATTTTTTAAATCTTTAATAAATTCAGATTTTTCTTCTGGGCTTTCTTTATCCTCCATTCTCCAATATGCATTTCGGGTTCTTTTTATTAATTCACTGACAATTAAACATCTACTTTCAGCGGCTTTTTCAGCTTCAGTTTTTCTAGGCAATTCAATTTTCACTAAATCACGACGCTCATATATTTCAAATTCATTTTCTACAAACATATTTTGAAATTGCTCCCACATATTTAATGTTAATAATTTTTTATCGCTATATACATGTTTATGAAATATATGTTAGCAAGGAAGTAGATACTGACAAAAGAACAGGCAAAAACAACTAAGCAAAGTTAAACCAGGCAATCCTTTACCTTTCTCTACCCTTTTTTCGACAGCACAAGCTTCATCGATGATTAACTGTTGGATTGAAAATGAAAACTTGTGAATTTGACCAAGAATTTTGTCATCAATGCCAACAATTGAAATCTGTTTAATTCTGAATTCGAAAGCTACATGTTCTGAATCGGTACGTTTTTTTATATCTAGAGCGATGATTTTATAACATGCGCCTAATATAATAGTTTGATTATGGGTTAAAGATGGATTGCATTTATTATGCTTATATCAAAAATAGAACAAATAAATGTATTCGTGATATTAAAAAAATAAATCTTTACAAAATTTTTTTAAAAAAAAAAAAAATCGGACTGCCAGGTCTAATACGGTTTTTACCTATTATGCTATAACTCAACGATGTTGTTCTCTTTAACTCACTATAGTACAATTCCAGGGCATTTGTCGAAGTTACTTGCAGTAGAAGTGGTGAATGCTGGCGAGCCCATAAAGCCCACTGATTTGAATTATTTTGATAATTTCGTTTGATATAATTTTTTATACCGCCAACTTGATATGCATCAATCACCTCTTTAATAAGTGCATCACACCCAACTTTTGTAGTTTTATACATTGCTTAGATTATTAGTCTTCGGGCTTTTGATTCGTATATTTTATTCATACATGTTCGCATTACATGGACCGTGCAAAAAATCACAGCATATTCTTGCTCACCATCTCAAAAACCGAGAAATGCTTTTTTAACGCTATTGGCCTCAACGTGACTTTGGTTGGCAAGAATATATTGCGGTTTTCAATTCCTTCTAATTTTTTTTATAATTTTTAAGATGTCTGAGACCGTATTACTATCTTCTTTTTTAACAAAAAAATGGGCACCAACGTTCCAACAGCCATACGTATTCCGAACATACAAGGTAAATAGGCGGCAATCATATTTGTTGGTTTTATGTGTTGAATCAATAAGGGTTAACTACCCATATCATTCAAGTTTGACAATTTGAAAGGGGTGAACAAAGACCAGACCATAAATAGATCAACTAGAGGTTACATAATGTTCAACATAATAACCCTGGTTTTTCAAAAAAAGAATACTCTTTTCTAGATCAGATATTTTATCTTTGTTACCCCTAAATAATTATTTTGCATCTCACAAACTTTGTATTTAATGTTTGTAACCTCAGCATGTTTTAGCTCCTTAACACTTGAGCCCAAGTTTAGCGTTCTAGCTGCATAGTTTTTAACCATACTTGTAATAACAGGTAGTGGGTAGTTTTTGGCTGCTTCTTCTTCAACTAATTTACGTACTGCTTCTGAACGCTTTAATTTTTCACTTTTATCAAGCATATATTCATAATTAGAGCTTTTATTATATCGTTCAACCTGCACTTTTTGTGCATTAACAAAACATAATACCCGGATCTTTGCAGAGCAAAGATTTGATGAACAGACCTTTGTTTTGCGACGCTTCTCAGCAGGAATTCCTTCCTTTCAACTACTTGAATGATTATGTTTCATAAATCGGCATGTAAATGCCTTCTAAAAATTACCATTGGTGTGGTTTTTGTAGCTAGACCTTGTCTATACATTTGTAAACAAGTGGCCACCATTCTTGATTGAATTTATCTATTGACACTTCAAATGGTTCATCAATATTGAAAAGGAGTGCTCGCCTTTGATCGGGAGTTGTAGATTGCGATATATAAACTTTGACTTCTTTATATACTGCGAATGCTTCATTTGCTGTGGATACTGGTTGTATTTCATTTTCATTTTCGTTATCCTTCAACACAACTATATCATTTTCCTCCAACAAACTTCTTTTGTTTTCCACCAAAACTTCACCTTCGTCAGCCACAATTTCTTCAAACACATTCTCTTCTTTTTTAACAAAGTTACCTGCCATATTAAAAAAAAAAACTATATAATATATAAAAAAAAATTTATATATATATAAGTTATATATAAAAAAAAAAAAAAAAACTGAAAATACAAACTTTATAGCATGCTCTGCTTACTTAGTATCATGATGGCAGTATTTAAGAAATTATTTTCAATATATTACTGTAATATACTTTAGTAATGACAATAAACTGATATTTGAAATTTTAATATAGTAGTATACAATAGATGTTAATGACTTCTCATTTATCATAAGTAATTAGGGTATTAGAAAAAAAAAAAAAAAAAAAGATTCCTTAAAAAAAAAAAAAAAAGAGAGATTCTTTAAAAAAACCGCATAGAAAAAAAGGAGATTTCTTAAAAAAAAAAAACTAAAAATTAAAAAAAAAAAGTAGATTCTTACTAAATATCTGAAAAAAAATTGGGTTCACCACGTCTCCTGTAATTTCCTGTATATCAGGTGATTTCGTGAGGTGCCAGGCTTTAAACAACCCCTTTAATTGGAAGACCATTATTCTCTAACTATTACATACTATCTATTGTATATATAACCAACTGCGTATTTCAAATACACATGTGATTCAATAAGCACAAATGCCTAACATGTGTCCTGACTAGCAAGACAACAACAAAAATTTATTGTATTCATCAGCAAAAAAAATAGACCGATATATATCGATTGCTAACCAGGTAGATGCAAATCGATACTAATCATCCCTGCCGATTACTAACGATCATGATAGTAATCAATATATAATGTATTTGATTATTAGCGAAAAACAATTTAAGTCGATATATAGCAGCTTCGATTTATAACGAAATATAATAGTATTCGATAGTAATCACCTCTGCCAATTAATAACGATCTTAATAGTAATTAATATACTGTATAGTATATTTGTTTATTAGTGAAAACAATAGTAATTGATATAGTACCCAACATGATATAACTGATCATATAAATTTATTTAATTTATTTAAGTTATTTTATTTACAAATTTTTCACATCCCGTACCCCTCATATATACATATATACGTATGTAATAATGATCTATTTACAAATACAATTAATACTTATCACTTTTCATCGGCTTACACTGTTGATATTCTATGTCTTCAAAACCTGTTACTTATCATTATGCCAGTTCCAAGTTCTTCTGAATTCCAAATCCCAAAGTTCAATCCCGCCTCTATTTAACTTTTCCGGTGAAGCACAAAAGCTGCAAAGCATTAGTAATACAACAAAACATCTTGTTACTAGTTTCAGATCCAAGCTCTCGATCACAGCTTCATTAACTTTTCTCAGCAAAGCACAAAACTTGCTAGAAGGAAAAAAAAATATTAATAATATACAAAAAACAACAAGAAACACTAATAACAAAAAAAGCTAGTACTTATCTTATAGTACTAGCCACGGCTCTAAAATCCATTCTAATTTCAAGATTTAATTCCGGCGAAGCACTAAACTTGCAAGAAAGAATGAAAATATTAGTAACATACAAAAAACAACAAGAAATAATAGGGAAAAGAAAAAAAGAGCTAGTACTTATCTTATAGTACTAGCCACAGCTCTAAAATCTAATCCCGGTTCCAAGATTCAATCCCGGTAAAGCACAAAACTTGCAAAACAGAAAGAAAAACATTAGTAAAACAAGAAAAACAAAATAAGAAACAACAGCAACAAAACAAAAAAAAAAAAGAGCTAGTGCTTTTATAGTACTAGCTATGCTCTAAAATCCAATTCTAATTCCAAGATTCAATCCTGGCGAAGCACAAAACTTGCAAGAAGGAATAAAAACATTAGTAATACACAAAAAACAACAAGAAACAACAATAAAAAAAAAGAGCTAGTACTTGTCTTATAGTACTAGCCACGCTCTAAAATCTAATTCTGATTCCAAGATTCAATCCCGTGAAGCACAAAACTTGCAAGAAGGAATAAAAACATTAGTAACACATGAAAAACAACAAGAAATAATAGAAAAAAGAAAAAAAAGAGCTAATACTTATCTTATAATACTAGCCACAGCTCTAAAATCCAATCCCGGTTCCAAGATTTAATCCCGAAGCATAAAACCTTGAAAAAAAAAAAAAATCCAATTCCAGTTCTAAGATTTAATCCCGGCAAAGCACAAAACCTAAAAAAGAAAAAACGTTAGTAATATACGAAAAATGACAACAAGAAACAAGACAAGCAAAAAAAAATGCTCTAGTACTTATTATAGTACTATTCTAGTTCCAAATCTAAGTTCTCAATTCTAATTTCGTTAATCTTTTCTAGCGAAGTACATACAAAAAGAAGAAAACATTAGTAAAATACAAAAAAAACAAAACAAAAAAAAAAATATCCAATACTTATACCAGTTCCTGGATCTAAATCTTAATGTTGGTTTCATTCGCTTTTCAGCATAAGCACAAACTCAAAAAAAAAAAAATTAAAAAAAATTAAACAGCTAAAAAAGAAAAAGATCTAAAAACTTTTTATAAAGATTATCATAATCAAATAAAGATTTACTTCATGTATGATATCATATTTTACGTGAAAATGAATTTAATTGATATATATATAGCAGGTAGAATATTTTATGATTTATTTTATTTTATATTTTTTTTAATATTAAGGTGACTACTTAGGCCCCTGGCACTTTATTAGTTCAAACGGGTGGGCCATCCTAAGACTGGCTTACATATTACATCAGTATAACGAGAGTATAACTAGTCACACATACAACTTTTGGTTGCCTATTTAAGTAGTCTGCCCGAAGCGTTAGTGCTATGCTAAGGGTTCTACACTAGCTATCATACATATAGCCTAACTAGGAAGCTATCTATTCAAACTCTCTGGCTTCAACCAATGTCACATGTTTCCTCCTAAT